AGGGAAATAGGGTCGCAGAGTCCTGAGGTGGAAGAAGAGGGGCTGTGGCTCAGTGGTAGAACCTCTGTGTTGTCGAAGGCTTTCACGGCCGGAGTTCATTAGTTGTTGTAGGTCTTCCGGGCTCTTGGCATTGTAGGACCTGACTTCTCGCCCGCATCCTCAGAGGTATAACACAGAAAGATGGAGTGCTCTCTGTGTCAAGGTGTCAAGGTGAAAAGAGAACGCTAGGCGGGTTATTTATATCTATTCAGGAAGGTGGGGTAGGGCTGAGTCATGATCTTGTAGGAATTCCCCAGGCTGTGAGATGCTAATGGAGGAGCTTTCCTGAGGAGGTTCTTTTGCATATGGATGGGCTGTTGAAATTCTAATCTTATCTGTAGTGCTATTGTAAGATGTAGAGCATTTTACGTTCTTCAGGACAGGAAACCATGCCCTATTTATTTTTAAACTCCTGTTGAAATTGTGTTTATCGTTATGACTTTCAACGGCTTCCCTATGTAATCTGTGTAGACCCTCTGTTTGCACGCAGAAAGTCCCAGGTTCAGTCCCCGGAATCTCCAGTACAAAGGATCAGGGAGTAAATTAATTAATTATCGTATGGCAGTGTGTGTTGTATAGCCAGGAGATCCGAGGATTGTCTGGCCGTCTTTAGTGTTAGGCACCACTAAAGTGGCGAGCTAGGCTGGTTGGTGGGCTGAGAGAGCTCTGAGAGAGTGGCGACTGACCCAAGGCCACCCAGCCGGCTTCATGCGGAGGAAGGAGGAATCGAACCCGGTTCTCTGGATTAGAGTCCTGCCACTCTTAACGGCTACATCAGACTGGCTCCAGGATCAGGGAGTGGGTGATGTGAAAGACCTCTGCCTGAGACCCTGGAGAGCTGCTGCCAGTCTGAGTGGACAATATGGACCTTGATGGACCAGTGGTGTGATTCAGTAGAAGACAGCTTCACATGTTCAAGAATGGAATGTACCACTCGGGGGTGGGGTGGGGGGCAATGTTCCCTCTAAACTGTGGAGTCTTGTGAGCAAAAATTCTTCTTTGTGAGCTACTGGCCTTAAAGTTGTGAGTGAGTTATTTGGTTACTGCATCAATTAGTTTTGCTCCGGAGCCCTCCTTCCTGAGCTGAGACAAAAAGGTGTGAGCTGGAGGCTAAAAAACAGTGAGCTAGCTCACACTCACTCAGCTTAGAGGGAACACTGGTAGGGGGTAGATTGCAGCTTTGAATGTTCCTTCTCATGAGCAGTGTTCCCTCTAAGCTGAGTGAGTGTGAGCTAGCTCACAGTTTTTTAGCCTCCGGCTCACACCTTTTTGTCTCAGCTCAGGAAGGATGGCTCCAGGGCAAACTAATGTATGCAGTAGCCAAATTGCTCGGTCACAACCTTAACGCCAGCAGCTCACAAAGTAGAATTTTGGCTCACAAGACTCCACAGCTTAGAGGGAACCTTGCATGAGGCGGTCTCTGCAAGCAGAAAACTAGCACAGCAGGGAGAAAGGTTCTACCCCTTCTCTTTGCTTGCTGTTCTGGGCTTCTTTCTGCAAGGCCACTTTAGCACAGGGGAGTATTCTAAAATGTGACGCTCCACCTGCGGACTGAAGTGGTACAGGCAATTCTACCCCCTTGGATCTCTTTGCCACCTCATTCCCGGGCTCGTGAGAACAAAACCTGGCCCAGTGGTGGATAGTGGCCGAAGCTGTTGTGAACTAGTGCCTGTATCATTAAATGCACAAACTATATCCAGGTGGCAGGGGTATATGCAATTGATGTTGGCAATGAATAGACATTGTTGACATAAATAAATCCATTTTTGGCCTAGCTTTGATACAGAAGGGGGGGGAATTATTCTCCTCCTCTCTCTTTCTTTCCCTCCAGTGGCTACATGTCCCAGAAGCAGGATCCAGTTGAGCTGATCCGCAAGGAACCCACTGTAGGCAGTGCTTCTGGTTCAGGAAGTGAGGAGAAAACCATTATAAAAAGACTGTGAGTATCAGAGCTGCATCTTTGGAGGTCTGGGAGAGCGTAATGATTTGATTTAAGAAGCTGAATCTTTGACTTGAAGCTGAATCGCTGCCTTAAGTTTCTGGGGGGAAATCAGCTAAATGGTAGGCCTCAGCAAGAGGTGGGCAGAGACTGGGAATATGGGAAATGACCCAAACAAATTTGGGGGTGACCCCAGGCAGAGACACAGAGACTGGGGCTGCGTTGGGCTAGTTAAACCCAAAAACATGTCCAGAGGGTTTGCTAATGGGGAGGGGAGGGAAAAGGAGTTTGTCAGCCACTCTGAGACTCCTTTGGATAGTGAAGGGCGGGGTATAAATCCAATCTCTTCTTCTTGAAAGAGCAGTTTCTGTCAAGAGCTCTCTCAGCCCCGCCTACCTCACAGGCTGTCTGTTGTGGGGAGGGGAAAGGAGTTTGTTAGCCGCTCTGACACCTTTGGGTAGTGAAGGGCGGGGTATAAATCCAACCTCTTCTTCTTCTTCTTCTAAATAAAATGAAGAAAAAGAAGAGGAGGAGATTGGATATATATCCCACCCTTCACTCAGAGCGGCTTACAAACCCCTTTCCCTCCCCCTCCCCACAACAGACACCCTCTGAGGTAGGTGGGGCTGAGAGAGCTCCGACAGAAACAGCTCTTTTTCAAGGACAGCTCTTATCAGAACTATGGCTTGCCCAAGGTCATCCAGCAGCTGCAAGTGGAGGAGTGGGGGAATCAAACCTGGTTCTCCCAGATTAGAGTCCGCGCTCTTAACCACTACACCAAACTGGATTGAGAAGTACCCCTAAATTTTTCTCCTCCTCCCAAAACGGGGCAAGTGGAAGAAAAATCTAGTCGATGCGTCTGAATGGAAGTGTAAAGGGGATGCAGATCGGGGCCGAAAGTCCCTCTTGTTCTCCTCCAGCACAGCTGCTCTTCTGTTCAGATAACCCTTGGAAACCAGCATTCCCCCTCCCCGGCTCCCTTTCTCATTTGCTTCATCGCTGCCTGTTTCGTTCCACTGACTACACCTTTTATTTCCTATGCAACATTAAGAAGCTCATGTCTGGCTTGAACGTTCGGAAAAGCAGGTCCCAAGCTCCGCAAAGGACTATTTGGCCCTTCTCTCGGCATTGGCAGCCTGGGTTTTTGGCCAGAGCAGGCCGGCTTTCCTTCTGGGGCCTCTCTGCTCTTGGAGGCGGCGTCACGCTTTCTTCCCTTCTAATTGCAGGTTTGGTTTTAAAAGGCCACGATGAAGAGCTTCCTTCTCATGACTCAAAGCGCTCTGGCTGCACAGGAAGCAGAAGACCAGGAAGTGGGACAGAGGGAAGAAAGTGTCCAATTTTGTTTGTTTGTTTTGGTTATCTCTGAAGTTTCAGGATTTGTGTTAATTTTCCACTGTTACTTTAATTCCTCATTTATGCACCAGTGTCTAGAGAGCAGGACCATTTTCTCCTCTGTTACGAATGTCAGCCTCGTAACGGAAAGTCCTTTTGGTCCACAAAGGGCAAGAATAAATTCATGCACTTTTGTTTCTAGTAGGCTTTGCAAGAGTTTGCCGGTGTTGTTTTCATCCTTCCATGGGGAAATGTTATTGTCCTGGGCAGCTGTGGGACAACCAGAATATTTATGCTGATCTGAAGATGCTTTACATTAGAACTTAAGAAGAGCCCTGCTGGATCAGACCAGTGAGGGTCCATCTAGTCCCGCATCCTGCCTCACACAGTGGCCAACCAGTTCCTCTGGACGGCCAACCAGAGGGCAGAGAGGCCGAGGCTTTCTTCCCCTGATGTTGCCTCCTGGCACTTGGATGCAGAGGCTTAGTGCCTCTGAACGTGGAGGTTCCCCTCCATCCCCATGGCTAGCAGCCATTGATAGACTTATTCTCCATGAATATCTAACCCACTTTTAAGACTGTTTATTCCTGTGGCCACCACTACATCCACTGGCAGCAAATTCCACATTTTAATCACTCTCTCTTTAGTCATGGAGTCACTTGATTTTTAAAAAGCCACAATCAAAACTACAAAGTTCACAAAGCAGCACAGGACACTGCTGTAGAGGGCATGTCTTCTAGCTTCCCTTTCCCTATCGTGGCTGGTTATATTCCTCTAGGACCAAAATGGCCAAAACATTTACTAGGGACCCAAATTCCCTCCCACCGGAAACTTCTTCATAGGCAAACAGCTTTTACCCCCTCTCTCTTATTTTCTCTTCTCCTGCTCTCAAGCAGTTAAGGAGTAAAACAAACCTCAGCAGAGAAGAGGAGATTGCATTTATACCCCGCTCTTCACTACCCGAAGGAGTCTCAGAGCGGCTTACAATCCCTTTCCCTTCCCCTCCCGGCAACAGACACCCTGTGAGGTAGGTGGGGCTGAGAGAGCTCTTTCGAGAACTGCCCTTGAGAGAACAGCTCCAAAAGAACTTGTGACTGACCCCAGGTCACACCGGCAGCTGCATGTGGAGGAGTAGGGGATCAAACCCGGTTCTCCCAGATTAGAGCCCACGCTCTGAACCACTAAACCAAACTGGCCAGCAGGGAACCAACCCTTTTGAAAACACAACAGGTTGGCTAGGGCTGAATGACTGAAAATACAATACTGGCTATTCTGATGCTCTAGTATAGATCTATATTGCAGACATACTTCAAATATCAGATACAATTCCAGTTTTCCTGTCTCGGACAGGGAGAGGTAAGTCAGTGGCTATCATATCCTGCAGTATTCCAAACATTTGTTACGCATAGATTTTTGCAGGTGAAGGGACATGAACTCCAGTTTGTCCCATGGAAAGGAAGGGGCATTATTTGCCACTATATTAAAAAGGAGCTGTAAAAATGGAGTTCGAACAGGCCAAGCGCATAGGATGTAAAAGCTGAGCGCAGCGAGACAACAAGAGGAAAACCACGGAGGCTGCGAGAACAGCCGACTCCCTGTTAATAAATATCGCATTTTATTTCATTTATCTGTACACAGAAATATTTTCTTCAAGTTTTTCTCCTTTTAAAAAATACAATACAAAGCCAGGCCTCCCCCCCCCCGTTTCCCTCCACCACTACCCCACACCCCACTGTTGCTCAAAGCAAGCAACGGGGAGGTCAGAGAGAGATTTTCGGAAGGAAAGACCCACTATTTCCCTTACTATAGCCGAAGTGCACCCCACCCCTCACCTCCATGTGTCCAATAAAACTGGAGATCTCCCGCTGGGATATACGAAGCCACCAACCGCCACGTCCCCTCACTGGCTGCCATGTGATGGGGACGGCAGGCTAAACAGGTTCGGGCCTACGGCCCAAACACAGCAAGTTCACCTTTGCCAAAAAAGGAACATGGACAGAGTGCGTTCCCCCAATCCAAGACATGTTTTTGCCAGCAGCAGGCCCTGGAACTGCGTGTTAAGCCAGGCCCTTCTTTCCCTCAAAAGGTGCCGGATTCCTTCCTAACTTGATGTAGATCGAAGAGTGCTTAAAGCCAGCTTAAGAAACACGCCCTCCAGACGGCCTCTGCTGCCGGGACGCACCGAATCAATGCCAGGAGCTTGCATCGGTCACACATAGGGGGAGGGAGATGAATTCCTGGTTATGAGGACACGGCACCAGCAGCGATTTCATAGTTGTACCAGGTCCAATGAAGACCGGAAGGCTGGTTTTTGTGACAAGCTCGTTCCTTACGAAGCTTCCCCCAGTGCCCGCCCACAACCCCGTGGAAAACATCGGCGTCTTCCACAGTTCCTTCCTCGATGAGAGAGAAGCAGCAGATTCCCTCCACTGCGTTGTTGTCGCACAGCTTCACATTACGACGTGGATCAAATGCCGTTCGTTAAAAGAAAAAGAAAATCCAGCCATCTCTGGAGAGGAGTTCACATCTTTTTTTAAAAAAAATAGCAGCCAAACTGGGCGGCTTCTATTGGTAGAACGGGCAAGACTTTGGCGCTGGAAGGCATCGGCAGGAAAAGTCACGTCGAAAAAGGAGCCGGGCGCTTCCCGCCATCTGGCCACGGCCGGAACCAAACGGTGGCCTCACCGAGACGGGGCCCTGGCTAGTGCAACAACCCCTCTGTGTGGTTCTCCACCCCCCCCCCCCCGAGACCCACAATGCTCCTGCTTCATTCCTCAGTGCAAGCATTTCACAGTGGGTGGTATTCATGGGTCTCAGAAAGGAAGTCTCCACACAACAGCCCTGCCAGGGTGGCACACATGGCAGGCAGCAACTGGAACGGGCCCTCTAGGGCCCACTTGCCATCCCCCCCCTCCACACCAAGTTTTCCTTTTGTCCTACAGCTCGGTCGAACCCCAGGCCGCCTCCGTGCCAGGCTTACAAGAGAATGGATAACCAGCAGGTCAAGGAGATGTCCAAACGGGGGTCCACCCGTTAGGCGACACTTGGTCCCACCTAGCCGAATGGCCTCTCTCGAAACACTGCCAGCAAAGGGGTAGGGGAGATTAGGGAGCAGGCTCTGCGGCCACGGCGACAGGAGAGGCAATTTAGGCGCAGGTTACTTGCTTTCACCTGTCGTCTGTGCCGGGGTTCGGCCCCCTCCCTCTATCTAGCTGCCCGCCCCCGAGGCACAGGTACACGCTGGCCAGAAGTAGACCCCTTGGATGATCTGCCATCCCTTGCTGTTGGGAAGCGAGACGGTGAGCATCAACGCAGACACTGACAGTCCCAGGTGAACCTCACGAGCATCCGAAAAGCCAGAGAAACCCTTGGGAATGACAGGAGCCACCCCGGCATGGCAGCCGGAGGCGGGACCAAAAATCTGGAGCCAGGCTTGACGTGGGCTTTTGGAAAGGCCCAGCTTCAGGGAAGCGGCTCCCCCCTTAGTTGCCTTTTGGGCTGCTGCCTTCCCCTCTCCCGTGCTCATAAGCTAGCATCGTCCTCGCCCCGTTTGGACTTCACCCATTCGCTCAGTCCCACTGGCCAGACGGCACCGCCGCAAGGCAGAAACGGAGGGAGAGTGATACACAGCCTGCCCTGGCACCTGGGAAGCAGGGGGAAAGAGTTTCTCCAGCACCAGAAAGCAGGGCAAAACAGTTCACCCCTTTTATCCATGTCCCCTCCACCCCCAAAAAGGTACCCCCTTTCAGAGGCTGCAAACAGGGCAGCCTAATTCCACAGCAGGGTTTTGCACTCCTGCTCAGTACCGCATTCCTGGACATGAAACAGATACCCATTTGCTGACTATCAGCGGGGATTGCCAGTGTCCGCCACACGTTGTGGGCGCTCACGTCAAGTGACATTTTCCCCTTGTCTGAGCAGAAGGGGGCCCGACCCAAACAGCTGCGTTCCCGCTACAGAATTCTGCACTGATCCCAACAGCCGCAATCAGGAAACTGATCAATTCATCTGTCTACATGTAAAAAAATCCGGGGTGGGGGTGTGGGGTGTGAAATCCCGACAAGCCCAATACAGAAACGCAGCCAGAAGTCCATCTCGAGCCTGCCCAGGAGTGGAGTGGTGGATGAAGCAACCTCGTGACAGACATCTTAAATAATTACGGAGTAGACCCTGGAAGTGTCTCCGCAAGGAGCGCTGTAAACAAAGCAGGTAAAATTCCCCGCGGAGGGGGGGGGGGAAGGCTCTTTCCAGAACAAGACGAGCTAGTGTTTTAGCCACGGGTGAGCTTCGATGGAGGCTTTGCTCCGGTCTCCGTAGTCGTACAAGAGTTCTTCGCCGGCCTTGATGTCACGCAAGGCCACCAGGATGAGGTGCGGAGTGCCGTCGATGTCGTGGAGCTTCGTCTGGCAGTTCCCGCATTTGCTGTGATTGATCAGCCTCCCCAGGCGATGGGTCTCTTTCGTAGC